TGTCATGGAGCAACACAATTCCTTTACTGAGCATTCCTCTTCGTTTGTTTTGAATGGCACGCCTTAGTTTTGTTAAAGTCTCACAATATCGTGCCGCATTAATGGTTTCACCTCTGGGAAGAAATTCAGTAAGCAAACGCCTTTCCTATCAAGAAGACAGTGCACATGATTTTTTGTGATGACATTGTCACTTGAACTTTTGTTTTTTCGGAGAATGAGTGTGTCTCCACTCCATCGATTGTTGTTTCGATTCTGGTGTGAAATGACACACCCAAGTTTCATCATCTGTCACAATTTAGCTTAAAAAGTTTTCTCCCTCATCACTGTACCGCGTGAGAAATGTCAGGGCACTACCAAGTCGCTTTATTTTGTGAACATCGGTGAGCATTTTTGGAACATATCGGGAACACAGTTTGCTATAATTCAAGCGGTCAGACACAATTTCGAACAAAACAGTATGTGAAATTTGTGGAAATGCCTCTGAAAGAGTTTTCATTGTGAAGCGTCTGTTCTCATGAATTGCTTCATCAACTTTCCTTACCAAATCATCGGTGACAACAGAAGGCCGACCACTCCGAGCCTCGGCGTGGACATTTGTTCGACCTGCATTAAACATTCTTACCCTCTTTTCTCACCATTCCATCACTTATCGCGTATTCACCGTAAACTTCTGTCACTTGACGAAAATTTCGACCGGTTTAACATTCCTCGAGCTCAAAAATTTAATCACGGCACGAATCTCACAGTCAGCGGGAGAACTAATTGTCTTAAACATTTTGAATGTGCACAGCAAACTGAAAACACAACATAGAGCAACCAAAATGGCGACAATTGAAAGTCAGTGAACAAGAAAGACTAGTGCGCATGCGAGGGACGCCTACCACAGCGCTGCGATGGCGCTAGAATGAAACGGTACTTAGTTTTCGAATACGCTACGTACATTTCTCAGTTTTAAAACATCGTCTGGCAAAATACGGTAAAGCATTCACCATATTATTCAGAATTTTTCGTTGACGATAGCATTTTCAGATTCTAAACCTTACAAATGAATACCAATTATTGTAATATGTAATAAGATTTATGAGTGCGAGGAAAACAGGGATTGGGTTTTAATCATAACAGTTTTAAAACTTACTAACAAATTTTAACTAAAAATTCAACAAGAAGACCTGAGTATTCAAAATCGAATTTATGATAGTAATTTATGGCTACATATAGCAGTTAATAGTGTTTGAAACTTAGGTAGTCATCTATTAATTATTATAACTGAATTCAATATTTTTCTAAAAATGTATTTGAAATTTTCATGAAAAAGGTATAGTACTAAGAAATTAGACAATAACAAGGGAAAAGCACTTTCGTTAGCCTTTAAAGAAATTATATTAGGTTTAGCTTGGTTTGTTTTATTTGTTTATGACCAAGCACTCGAGGGCTATCTGCTTAATGGGAGGGATGCCTTCGCGGAAGACGTTCTAAGGGAACTAGCTCCTGTATACATTACACATGGAAAAACCTCGAACAGGATTATGCAGCTAGCCCGATAGTGGGATTCGAACCTGGGACCGAACTATGACTGTTCAACGACATTTACCGCTCCGTCGCAACTGGGCCAAAATTATATTAGGGTTTTGAAAGGGGGAAAATATAAGGTATTTTGTCCCTCCTTTCTGGATGCGTTCGTGGTGTAACGGCAGCACACTAAGCGGTATTCGAGAGGTCCATGTTCAGGTCCCGGCGAGGGCATTACTCATTTTTCATGTCCCCTGCTTCGAAATAACCGAATGTCTCTACAAGTTATAGTCATAAAGCTAAAGTATTTATCATTATTTTTCCGCAAGCAAGAGTACACGCGTTTCTAAATTGGACGAACTACTGAACGGAAATTAAGAAGAAACAGGAGTGTTTTATATTGCAAATCTAACTATTAGAAAAAGTACTGGCATTGTGGAAAGATACTGTAGGAAAAGTGTTTTTTAATACGAACACTTTATTTTCATTGCTACATTAACGCTGCAAAACCAATCCTCTGGGAATTTATGGGATACTTTGGTTTGTAAGCGTTTTCAGTTTCTATACCTTAAGCTACTGAGAAATACCAACATATTTGAATTAAAGCTTACTTTCTTCATTACGCATACATCCAGAGCAAAGTTATGAATTATCCCCATAATTTCTGATCCAGGCTTAGTATTTAAGATTATAATTAGTTTGGAAATACAAGCCATTAAAATTTGATTCCGTTTTTATACTCATGATTCCCAAGCTCCGAACAAATATAAAAAATTCTTATACCTCAACTAAATCATTAAAAGCAAGAGCTGTATCTGAAGTAAATGAAGAAATAATTGCTAACTAAAAAGGTAAATTAGCTTTAAAATTCGTAAACTCTAAATATATTTTGAAGAAACCCTAATTACATTAGGTTATTTTATACTACCAAGCATTTTGAGAAATCAAACATTTGCATTCGATACATAGTTGATTTAAACATTACATAGCACGCTAAATTACATTAAACTTAGTAAGGCTAAATTGATTTCACGATGGCCACGATCTCTTTTTAAAAATCTAGATTTTGGAGAAACCACCCAGAAGTGCAAAATAATAATAATAAAAAAAAAATTGAAAACTTTCAGATTTTACATTACGCACAAAGGGGATATTTTTTAACGTTTTGTTTGTTACCTTTATTTATTAAATTGCTCGTATACTTTTGCCCTTAAACCGTAAAATTCAGTTCAACAGCAATATCTCAAAGTAATTTAAAAAGAGCATATATTTTAAAATTTTCCATACACATTCTCGAGCGCTGGAGTTAAAAATGTTTTTCTTTTTCTTCCCCCCCCCCGTACAGTGCTGCCATTGCTCCCTTAGAAATCGTCGAGTTTGTTAATCAAAAATTGGTTAAAAGTTTACAAAATATGAACTAGATAATAAAACAAATTTCAAATTCGGGCTTTCAGATGTCCATATTCGAGTGGAGGACCAGGCTATTCAAAATTGGTGTCTCTAGGCACTGTTGTTTTTTTACAGCGTGAGAAACGTACATACATTCATGTAGATTCTTTATTATTTAATTTCTTTAAGTGTAATACAGAGCTCTAATATTGGGTGGCAAAAATTTGAAAAGTGAAACGCTTTTTATAATGATCAGCGCAAAATGCCAAAACGAAATTAATAACCCTTCTGGGCAAATTATACGTTTGGGCTAATAATAAGCAACCAACAAAAAGAACAGGAAACAAATAATTCGCTGAAGGAAAATTTCTAAAAAATTTTACTTACACATAAATACAAACATCATTAATAAATCACATAATTCTTTCTTAATTTTTATTTTCCCGGAATTTTTACTTCCTTTTAAGAAGCAAAAGAAATATTATAATGGCGAAAATTTTCGTTAATCATAATTCAACGAAAATATCCATTTTGACAGCTCTCGAATCCATTTAAACGATGATTTTCGTCACATCTGTACGTACGGACAGAATAAAAGTCTCTCTTTTCTAAAGCGTATTGTAAAATGGATTTAAAATCAATTCAGAAGAGTTTTTTGTGGAAATCTATGTGCTTACTAACATATATATGTATCTTGCATAACTCGAATAGCCTTAAAATGTTGAAATTTTGTGTGTGGGACTCCTATAACATGTACTTGTGCATTTCTTTTTGGTTGCAATCGGCCGCATCAAACATATATATATATATATATTAAATAGATATATACCCACGCTGTTAGCCGACTCGGTGAGCTCAGTTTTTTTTTTACTCTGATATGTTGGTAAATTGTGAATTTTTTGTTTTGAATCCGTTTATGGATTTTATATCTTTAGTTAATCTGCATGCAACAGTTATAGAATTATCAAGAATTTAAAAGTTTAACCAGTGCTAAGCCTAACGAGGCCGCCATTTGTTTACATTTGAAGCTCTTAAGTAGGATAGTGAAGTGAGTTTGTGCACCAACCTCAGTATCATTTTGCCGAACGGGACCAAATATAATCGGAAAATCTGTCTTCCTGCCCGCTGCCCATTGCCTGTTTTTGAGTCTAAACTGCAATTTTAATTGTAAAAATAGTGGTATGTGGTGGCAGTATGTGGTGTTTTACATTTTTCTGCATTTTAAAAATTTTAATGACGATGCTTTGAGTTTCATGCGCTTTTGCCATGTCATGAAGGAAGTTCTGAATTAATTGAATGAGAAATATATCTCTAATGGAATTCGACGAAATAAGTTAAGTAAAATGCAGGAAAAAATTTGTATAATTTAACATGCCGCAAAAGGAATGTAATGTCCGATGTGGTATGAACATCAGATATTTTAATATGAAAGGGGAATAAAAGTGTATTGATGACTAAAAATTAACTCTTATTTAAAATCTAATGAAATGAATTTAAAAAAAATCTGATGTGTACACCACATGTCTTCCTTGTACGGAATATTCAATTATACGCATTTTTTCTTGCATTTCATTTAAACTTATTGGATTGGAAACCACAATAGATTAAATGCACTCTTTAAAATTCACTCTATTTGTTTACCATAGCCACACTCTGGCCCTAGTTTCGCCTAACAGTGTTAAATTTCATTCATTTTTTAACTCAGAATACACAAAATTTATATCATCTTAAGAATTATCTAATCGTTGCCACATGTTCTATTCAAATACTATAATAAATCTAGAACGATGTATAAAAGAAATTAAGCAAACCAAACAAAAAAAAAAGTTTTATATGTAATACATTTTTATTGAAATTTGTAATTTTTTCGAGGGGGGGATAAAATTTTTGTGCAGAGTAAAATTCTGTGCAGTTTTTAAATTTAATGTTTGGTGTTTTCTTCAGGCATTTTTTTGACACATTAAAAAGCCAGACGTAGGCTGGCCGCATTGCGGCTAGTCTGTAACAAAAGTGCTGATAAGATTAGGAGAGTGCAAAATTATGCATCAATTCGTTTCCTAGCAAGAGTAAGAAAAAAAAATTAAGACTTTTTGCATAATTACCATCCGCAGGCATGGTAAGGTTTTTAGCTTCCCAGTTGCTGTGCCCCGCTTCGTTGACTGCTGCCAACTGGAATCCGTAGGTGACAGCAGGCGCCAGATACCGAACAGTATAGCTAGTAGCGTTGGCCGGTATTTTGTCGTCCATGTCCAGCCACTCTGTCCCACCCGTGCTGTAGTTCTTCATTTGCAGGTGGTATCGTTTGATTGGCAAGTTGCCCTTGTATTCCAGACTCCAGCGCAGGAGTGCAGTTCTGGAGTCCAGCGCTTCTACGGAGTCAACAGAAATCTCGGCCGGCTCTGAAAAACCGAAATATGTGATAAGTACTCATCTAATTACAGAATACCAAAAACTTAGTCTGAAACATTGATAGTGCTCTTTGGTAAAGCAGGCAATATGAGACATTACTTACATGTATGCACCGCAACACAAAACGTACATCTAAACCGTAATCTTGTAAGTATTAACGCAAATATTTCTGTAAAACTACATTATAAAAAAGTTCCTATAATATCTGGCTTAGTACGCGTTTCTATGAAACTGATGCAAATAATTCTACAATTCACGCAGTGCAACTTTTAAGATTATGATATACTGTTCATATGTGGCAACACAGAATTCCAATGTAAAATCTTTGGGGAAAATAAAAAGGAAGAAGAATAAGCACTCTTAAAAATAATCCGATTATTTCGAATTTTCGTTAGTTAATTTCTTAGTCCAGGTATTCAAATGATTAAATTTTCAAGGCCAATGAGTGTCAACTTCGTACATGGCGCGTGTTTCTTCTACGCAACAATTGCGGACGATTTATCTTTTCTCGTCATCGGTGGTGCAGTTCTCTGGAAACTACAACCAATAATGCCGTTACGAGTTGGCAACAGGACGACTTCAAACAAGATTGCATAGTATTGATACATGGAGCCGGCCAGTGATACCGAACAAAAGTACTTTGCAGGCAACCCGTTGCCTGCAAAGTACTCATTGGTGGAATCAAGGCTCAGGGAGGTGAATGTGCGAGGCACGATGTGGGACAGACCCGAACTGTCCCAACGGCATCATTGTACGCTATACAATTTGCATACAGCCATTTCCACACCATCCATAAACCTGCCACCGTCTCACGGCGCTTAGCTGAGGCAGGGTTGCCTTCACATATAGATCTTTAATATCACAACATCGACAGTTTCGTCTGGAGTGGTGTCGTAATCGATTATTATGGCTGCCAGCCGATCGGTATCGCATAATGCTTAGCGATGAATCCCGCTTCAGGCTTGGAGCAGATGGACCATCAGGTCCGTGTGTGGAAAGCTCTGGACCGGTGGCCTAATCAGGCTTTCCTTTATAGAGGCATAGAGCCATTACCCCTGGTATGATGGTATTGGGTGGTATCTCTTACGACAGCAGATCGATCTTAGTCATCCTGTATACAACTTCAACATCTCAATGATATTTTGATGACATCCTACGGCTGTTCGCATGAACCTTCATGGCAGGCCATCCTTGAACCATTTTCCAATAGGAAAATGCTAAAACTCATACGGCTCGCATATCTTTGAATTATATTTAAGTTCCTAATGCGTTTTCGTGACCAGTAAGGTCACCAAACATTTCGCTAATGGAGTATGTATCGGATATGGTAGATCGACAGTTTCGGGCATCACAAAATGTTACAGATCTGGAGCATCAGTTGAGGAATATCTAGTAAAATGTATCGCAGGATGAGATTAGGAATCTTTGTCATTTCTTACCTCAACGATTACAAGCACGCATTGCCTCCAGGGGAATTCAACAATTACTGATTTTAACATTCAGTGTGCTAGCTACTGATGGATTTGAATTTTTTAATCATTTTATTACCTGTGTACGAGCTTTACGCATATCTAATTTCAATAAAAACAGTCACTTTCTTCATGGTTCTTCCACCCCAAAAGTGTGTATCTTCTTAAACTTCCTAAAATTTTTCTTTAAGTTAGAAGAACATTTTTCAAATTATGTAACAACATTTCTTTAAATTATGTCCAGTCCAATCCCCAGCCCATGGCCGTTGTTCACAAATAGTAAATTTCCTCTTCTAGAAAACATAAATAACAGCTTAGGCATTCTAGCAGGCTTGTTGTCCTCACAGGGGTGCAGAGGCAGAGAATGTAGCAGTCACTTAAAATGGTACTAATTAGTGGATATAGCTTGTAATCTTGCTGCTCAGCAATGGCAAGAAATTATCATCAAATTTATAGGGTGATCATAAATTCTTGAGGGCATTTCAATTAAAGACACAGGGAATAACCTAAAAGGAATTCACATTAATATCATATTATACAGTCAGTCAAGCAAAAATTATACACTTACCTTTTAACGTATGTGTTAAACGGTAAAACATTTTAATACAGAATGGGTTAGTGGTACAAACAACATCCCATACATAAAACTTGGAAATATTGTACGGGTGATAGTTTGATCTGCTCGATTTTCTGGTATATAGAAATATAGAATTTTTCTCACATAAGCCCATGGTTCCCCTTTGGCATTTTCTTTCTTGCAGCTGAAGAAAGTTCTACGTACGAAGAAAAGTCCTATAAGTCCTATATTATGCCAATTCCTGTAGTTTATTATTTATTGCTTGAGTATAGTTCTTTGGTGTGCTGTTTTGTTACTTATAATTCAGTTTGCATTTATTGTCTTGCATGAAGATCATAATTCAGGTTATTTATTTTAAATGCTCCTTATTTTGAATTTTGCGTGTGAAGCATAGCGAGGGATTTCGCAGTTCATGATATATATTGTACAGCCACAGTATATACTTGTCGCTACACAATATTTAGTTCTTCCTCTGTATTTTATGAATAATGTTTAGATTGTCTGCCGCTTATTTTTGCTCTTTTACTTATTTCAACAGCGGCAATATGGCCGTAAGTATTTACCTTGTAAGGTTTATATAAATAGTGAAAAATTCACAATCAATATTAACTTATATTACAGCAAACTGAGATTAGAAAGAAAGATTTTGGAAATATAATGATTATTTAAAAAAATGGTTTTTTTTCCAGAGCTTATATTCAAACATAGAACGATTTCAACATTCATTCATTATTTTATTTCACGTTTATAGTACAGTCATACCGACCGATTGTACTTTATTAATTTAAAAGGCAAACATAACAAACTTAAAGCATACAGCTGATATTCAATTACAATATTCTGCCACATTTGGCTGTTAAAATTTCCAATTCATCTTCACATTAAATAAAAAAACAAGAAATTCAAATTAATTCATGATCCGGTTCTTACCATATTACAATTATGGATTTTACCGCAACGCATGTATTCTTAATACCTTCACGCTTCCGATTCGAGAATTTCGGCGGAGATTTGAGCATCAAATTATTGGTTAAGCTTTCCTGAACGGGTCGTGCAGGCGTTGTTGGATCTCCTGGCTGTGCAAATGCGATAGCGATGAAAATTCCAATCGATTGCGCAATCATCGCCGCATGCTGTTCGTCGACAATTACGTTAGAATAGCAGCATCCTGCTGAAATTTTCGAACCGAGAATGTTCCTTTTAGGGCATCAAAACCGACAGATCGGGGGAAATGTCGGGGCGATAAATGCGTTATGCTCCTCGGGCCCATCCCAAATCAGATAAGACGGCACCGATGATTGCCCATCGATGCGAGCCGAGAATCGATTATTTTTGCAGTTCGTTGCCAGGAATTCGATACGTAAGATAATTCCTTATTGCATCGGTGTAGACCTTTGTAATAACGGGTCAATCGCAGACAGCTGTTGACTTTCCTGCATTTTGTACAACCCCCACTAAAATTCAAGTCCCATCAATTATTATTTGACGGAATTTAAACTTTATTTATTGTAACTCAGTTGCGGAAGCTAAATAACTTTGAGCATTTGCTATGGAATTTATTATCATTCTAGAATAATTAATGTTCTAAGGTTGTTTTAATTACTGCTATATTTCTTATGGTGAATTTTTACCGTTACATTTACTCCACCAAAATACGTAAATGAAGTTAGTTTAATTAATTATGAAGTGAAAAATCAAAGTTGTGGTACGATTAGACGATCGTTAAAATCTGAACTCAGTTTGTGCATGTTTTAGTGCATGTATGTATGTATGTTCACGGTTTTGACACACCTAAAACTTTCCTTCTGTACACAAAGAAAAATTGAATGAAAAAGGATTTGAAGGTTACCATGGGTTACTCTGAACCTTCTTTAGTAGATGGCAGCTCAACACAAACCAGTCCATACATTTTAGCCCTGTTTAGTTTTTTAAGATCCTCATTTTTCGAAGAAATCTTCCAGAAGGAAATTTCTATGTTATTTTTTTGGCTGTATGCTAATCTCCTTATTCTATATTAGTTTTAAATTTTTACCTTGAAATCTTGCCTAAAATCGAACGGAAAACCAAGGTGTTCCCAGACTGGGCTCACTGCGAGTCTAGGTCACTAAGAAGCTGCTGTATCTTTGTTTCTTTGCAGCTCATCGGTCAGCTCATTAACATAGAAAGGTGAGTCCACATCTGTGTATTCATTTCCTGTTTTTCTCTTTTTCCTTTTCCTTCTCCTTTTTTTTTTTTTTTTTTTTTTTTTTTTTTTTTTGTAGGGAGGTTTGGTTATTAACTAAGAAATTGTTGCGGTGATTTTCTTAAGGTCAGGGATAATTTTATCAGTTAGCCGTCTGGTTTTTCACTAGAGCAGTTTTCATTTTCTCTTTCACTTTGGTTCAAAGAGTTTTCTTAGCTCTGCGTTTAATGGTTTTGAGTTCTAGACATTTACATTTTTATTTTATAGTTTATAATTTCAAATTGTAGATATAATATTAGTTTATTTTTTTCGGATTTTTAATTATTTTCCAAATGAATCTCAGAGGGCCGACCATTTCTAAAGTACTGAAAGTGCTACACGAATTGCTTTCAGATAGTGAATCTGATACGGATTCCAGCACATGTGTAAAACATGCAATATTGGGTTGTGCTTTTTTTAAAGGTGGTGTCACTTTCTTCGAAAAGTACCACGATGAAAAAAATAGACTAAAGTGTAAATATGATACGTAAATAATGCAAATATCATATACCCAAGTTACGTTTTTCCCCATTCATAAACATGTAATCATCATATAACCAAAAATGAGCTTTTTAGGGGGGTGATGAGTAGCAGATCTCCCCGTGGAACTCCTTGAGTAATGCTAAATCTGCTATGGTATTCAGAATCTAGTGTTTTTTAATCGTAGGCAAAATCTCTTACTCTTTTATGCGCTTCCCAGCAATGCTCGTTTCAGCACCCTTT